TAACAAGTTGCTTATCCTGCAGTTTGTCCTTTACTTAACCAGTCCTCAATGCCTACTGCAGTTCTTTTCGAAACCACAAAACTTTAAAAATTTTTCAAGTTTTCACTGTTGCTAGTGGAGGTTCTCAAACTGTAAACGGCTCTAGATTCACCTCATTGGTTTGCTTAAAACACAGATGCAAGCCCAGTGTAATCCCCGCACTCAGGAAGCTGAGGCAGGATTGTTGTGAGTTCTAGGCTAGCCTGCACTACGTAGGGAGACCCTGCTTCCAAAACAAACGACAAGCCAGGCATGGTCTTGCACATCTGTAATTCCAGCACAAGCGGCTGAGGCAGAATCACTGTGAGTTCGACACCACCCCCGCAACCCCACTACGTAGTGAGTTCAAGGCTAGCCTGAACAATATAGCAAGACCCAGCCTCAAGAATAAAAAAAGATTTCAAAAAACTTTTTTAAAAACACACAACTGCTAGAAACCCTTCCTTTTTCCTTTTAAAGAAACCTGAGATGAAGACTAAGAATCTGCCTTTTCTACAAGGTCCCAGTTGCTTTTAATGCTGCTAGGCTAGGAAATACACTTTCATTTCTCAGCTAGCGCTGTGCATTACAACTACTTAGAGAACTTTTATAAATTGCCCTGTGTAACCCTAAGCCAATCACTCACAGGCCATAATCACTCCTCCTCCTTCTTCATTTGCTTCTTCTTTAAATCTTCCATGTGATTCTAATTTCTAGAAATACTGAACCTCACTGGTGTTTGACAGGAATTCCAAATCCCCAGCACAGCATAGAGAACTCTTCACCTCTGCCCAAACACATGATCTACCTACAAGAACCTATTAATCAGCAAATACCAATAACAGTTTGCTTATCTCTAAATGAGAGACACATATTCCTGAATGATTTTGTGGGAATTAAGTGAGATAATATGTGGTAAAATGCTAACTAAATGCTGATGCAAAACCATGTTCTAATAACTGTTGGCTTCCCTTTCTTTATCATCCATTCAATAATATACAATAAACACCCTCTATGTGGAAGAAGCTATACTCTGTGCTGGGAACACATGGTTAATGAAAACACATATGATACCTGCCCTCAGAAGACTAAGAACACAGAGGCAATCAGTCATTAAGCTAATAAGTAGTAAGAGTTAATTAATTAGTTTTATAACAAGTCCTGTCCAAGGAGAGGGGGAGGGTGCTATGAGAGCTTGTAACAGTGGTACATAAATTTGTTCAGCATGTAGGTGCCAAGAAAACCCGAGACAGGAGGGCTGCACTGCGGGAAGGGAAACAAGAACCTGCATCCGAGCCCACCAAAGAGTTGGACTGATGTTCCTTACACAGAAGCAGCCCAGGTGGAGCCTAGGGGTCACCCAGAGAGAGAAAGGCTAACAGGTAAGGGTGGAGAGAAGGTGGGGGTAAATCGTGCAGATTTTGAAACTGATGCAATAATTACAGTAAACCATTCAAGGGTCCTGCAGTCAGTTCTAGAGGATGCTTTTCCTGGCAGCAGGTTTACTCCCCAATGGCACACGGAGGGATCTCTCCATCCTCTCTGTATTCTAGCCTCACAGCCTTCACACTGCTGCATGCAAATCCCAGAAGATATCTAAAGACTTTCCAAGGAGCAAAAGGCCCAGAGGTAATTTTGAAAGAATTACATTCTAGATGCTCAGTCTTCATTTATGTTCTTTGCCAAAGCTCAACTGCCTGAGAACAAGTCTACAATCTACAAATTTTCTTTTCTGTCCTGGTTTTCAGGTTTGGTTTTAGCCTGGAGCTTGTTTCATGGTAGACAAATAATTTAGAAATAAATTTATCTGGGTCGGGGGTCCAAATAAAGGGATGGTGCTTAGCATCAGTGCTGTACTGAGAAACTGAGAAATGAATGACTCTAGTGTAGGTGTTACAGCTTGTGTCTACATGTCCCCCCAAAGCCTCATGCAGTCATGGGGCTGGCTTCTAGAGTTATGACTGATTCATGATGTGTTGGGACTATGGATGTGAGTGCTACACCCTCGCTGGAGCAGATAGTTTGCATACAGTGTAAGGGAGGGAAAGATGCTTACTCTTCCAGCCTCCACTCCTCCTTTCTACTCTTGTTGTTTTGCTATCTTCTACCACCATGAACAGTTGCCCTCTGCCATGTGCCACTCTGCCTTGGAGCCAGCTGAGTATGGACTGAAACATTCACAGACTGTGAGCTAAATAAACCTTTCCTTCCTTAATTTTGGGCATCAGGTATTTTGTCTCAGCAATGAGAGAAAAGTAACTGACACAGTAGGAAACATTCGTTTGCAATTCACATGAGTTTTAATCTTTTCTTTTACTGAAAGTGAAGGTGAGACTAAGTAATAGTCATTTAAAATAATTTTTAACAAGAACACTAGATAATATTCACTGTATGATATTAGGATCATAATCATACAAAGTTATTTATCAAATTTAGGCATCTTCTATTTGTATTTGTTAAGTATAGCAACCCCACCCAAAGTTTCAGTTTGAATGAAGCTCCACAGATTATATAGCTGATTCTGATCATGAAAACACACTTAAAACATTCATTTCACAAGGCAAATGAATGAACTGAGCAATATGAATGTGGCAGCTGAGATCACACTGAATGAAAACTTTTTATTTTTATTGGAGCTTTTTCTCTCCCTGCTGTCAAACGCCCCACACAGAAACAGAGCTTGGCATACAACTTTCCCAGCAAGCTTCCCTCTTTGAGATGGTGTAAAAGTGATGCTGCCAACCAGAAAATAAAAATTTGACAGTGAGGCCCATTAGTGTCTCAGAAACAATCAACAGCCCAGAAATGATAGTAGAAGAAAAAAAAATGCTTCAAAATGAAAGATTTTCACAGAAGCACAGTTTCCATAAACTGAACAATTATAAAAAACTAAAGAAAAAAAGCCAAGGTAATACCTTTACCAATATCTCCAGCAATAAATAAAAGGATAGAGACAGGAGCGGGAGCAAGTACTCCAGGAAAACAAAAGTTAATTGATTCTTTTCCACCACCTGAAACTTAAGAACCTCATACTGACTTTGGAAATATTTCTAAACCTCTCATGCTACTTTTTAAAAATATTACATCTGAAAGGTTTTCATTCACTTGTTTCTCAACAAATATAAATCCATTTTTTCCTTGAAGTGTCCTTTTGTACTAAGGGTTTGGTTTTGTTCTTTGTTTTCTATAGCTGTCAATCATATATATTGTTTGTGTCTACTTCAAACTCATTTTGCAATAAAAGATTTCAAAATCCTCTCTCCTTCCTCTGGGGGAAAAACAAAGGGTGAAACAAACAAGGAAAATAACTTTATATAATCCTTTCATTTCAGGTCTTGATTCCTTCCTGCTATGAACTTCATACCAAAGCTTTGCTCTACTGTGTTTTAGAGATGAAAGAAGCTCTTACAGCCTATAAAAAGTAAGTTCATCTTTGGTGTAAACGGTGGAGAAGTCTGAAGAATGATTTAATCTTTGAAGAGAATATAAAGTGTTCTGTAAGAGTTCAGGTTGAAAGTTCTCTGAATGTTAAGCTTCTGAGAATGTCAATTTCACCAATAGGATGTAACCCCAATCTATTCTCACTCAGTTTAATACCTTAGGATTGAAGCAAGTAGACTAGAGTAGGTAGTCAGCAAAAGCACAAGGCCCAGCTTCAGATCCCAGCTCAGTACCACTTATTTCTGTGACCTTGGAGAAGTTCATTCTTCTCTCCTTTCTCTCTTTCTTTTGGCCTGGGGGATTGAAGTTTCTTAAGATCTTAGTACCTCATCTATATGAGGAGGATGACAGTAACAGTATTTATTTCATAGGCACTTGTTAGCATTAATAAGGTATAGTTCTTAGAACAATGCCTAGTCCCAAAGAAGCACTATGTAAGTTGTTATACATTAGTATTAAAAGGATCTCTGTGCTTAATCTATGAATACACCTCGCGTAGTAATGAGCCTTCTCCCTTATTTTTCTTGGCATGCATAATGAAGCCCAAAGTTTAAGAGAAAAATATCACTTTGTCATTTATTTCCTATCGAGGCTCAGGGCTAGCAGAACTCTAAAAATATTTTACAAATCTAGCCTGGTGGAAAGCCACAGCAGTGTGATACGAAGAGCAGCACAGAGGATCCCTAAGACATGAATTAAAGTCTTGGTTCACAGCTACACTGTGACTGCACTTTAACATTTAGTTTTTTCCTCATCTGTAAAATAAGAAGGTATCCACTGCTTCCAATATTTCTGGCAGAACAAAAATTCTGATTTTGTAACCTTTAACATTAATGTCAAACTTGTCAGAGAGGAATTCAGTGAACTCTTACTTACCAAAGGACCTTTCTGAGGCAGTCTTTCTTGAAATTCCACTTCTCTGTGCTCTTAGTCTATGAAATTTACCATCCTATTCTATACATGGTTCACACCTCTTTAAAGCCAGAGAATATAAATAATTCCAATGCTAAATGACTAGAAAAATAACCATGAAGAATTACTGCAAGCTTCACTTACTCGGTGAGCCAGCAGAAAAAAAAATAACATCTATTACTATGGTACACAATATTTCACCTATATTAACAAACACAGTGTAATTCTAAAAATAGATTTGAGGAGGTGGTGGAGATCTCAGAGTTAGGCTTCTCAAATCTGCCCTATAGGAGACATTTGGCAATATGTGAAGTCAGGTTTTGTTTTTACAATTCAGGGAGTACGATGGCATCTGGTAGCCACAAGCCAGAGACTGCTTGTTATGGTTTGTGTCTAGATGTTCTCCCAAAGCCTCTTGCAGTCATGGGATGGGCTTCTGGAGTTTATGTTTGATTCATGGTCCAGTGCTGGGATTATGGGTGTGAGTGCTACACACGCCCAGGGGCAGGTAGACTGAATACAATATAAAGGAGGGAAGGAAGCTTGCTCTCTGCCCCCTCCTCCCTTTTTGCTTTTGCTGTTTTCCACAGCCATGAACTGTTGCCCTCTGCCATATGCCACCCTGCCTAGGAGCCAGCTGCACGTGGCTTGAAATCTCCACAAACTGTGAGTTAAATAAACCTTTCTTTTCTTAATTCTGGGCATCAGGTATTTTGTCTAAACAATGAGAGAAAAGTAACTGAGACACTGCTAAACATCTGCCAACTTACAGCACAGCCCTTACAACAAAGAATCACCTGGCTTGAAATGTTAAAAGTGCTAAATTTGAGAAACTCTGCCTTTGACCAACGTTTTTGGATGGGGAACAGCACTACCTTCTAGAAAGTAGTTGATAATTAGTTGTTAGAGCTGTGGGGAGTGGGCTGCTGGCCAGGGTAGACAGCGGTCCTGTCCAAAGGTACATCATGCAATGTGCGAGACAACCCTTCTTAATGAAGTACTATACCTCACACTTCCCAACTTTGAAATGTCTCATGAATTACACACCTGACAAACTTCTTTATAATTACTTGATCCTAGACCCATAGTCCATCTTACATACAAAGAATTTTTTGCAAGACTGAGAAATCCTTATTTTTTTAAACACAAAAGTAGTAGATAAATCAAAAGATAGTATTTTGTTATATTTGGAATTTTGTCAAGAATTGCTCAACACTTTGTAAAAATACATCACCAATACTACTGTGGTATTTGAAAGGCCAATAAAACAAAGATGTATAGGGCACAGTGACACATGTCTGTAATCCCAGCTACACAGTAGGCTGAGGCAGGAAGATTGCAAGTTTGATGTGAGCCTGAGCACCCTGGCAAGATTGTGTCTCAAAATAAAAAATAATTTCAAAATCGGGTGGTGGCTAGCAATGTAACTCAGTAGTAAAATGCCCTGAGTTTGATTCCTCATCAAAACTAAGCATTTATATATTGAAATATGAATTATAGATTACTTGCACTGCACTCTTATATTACAAATAGGGAGTATATATGGTTCCATTCTTACAGATTTCATTTTGTGGTAGTGAAGAGGGCATGCGAAAGCATATGCCACCAAAAAAGGAAGCACTGATTAAATCCAGGGGGGCTGAGAATCTGCTTTACTGATCACCTCTCTCAACTGCTTCTCTTTATGGAAGTCAAATTGGAAGCCTAGAAAAGAATCCTTCCCTGGTGACAAGTGTGGGGAATTTTTCAGGATAAGTCATTATCTTTTGTTCTGATCGCCTATCCATGCTAGCACTAGAGCTTTACGTATTAGGGACTGCCTGATTCAAATTTGAAGTATTCCATCCAAACACACAACATAAACCTGCGTTATTCAGCTCTACAGGTAAAATATTACCATGGGAACCATGACAAGGACAAACTAAGAAAACTGTCATCACCAATCAGTCAGAATACTAGGCCTCAGTCATTTGGTGGTCTATGCAATCCTCTTCCATGTAAAAACAAACCAAATGAGCATGACTCACTTCAGAGATTTCTAATTTGGCAAGATGAAATCACCACAGGTCTAAAATTTCCCTTGGAACAAAATGTCACAGACCAGGCTTTGGAAGGAAAACAGTAATAATCATTTACTTGAGCAGTCCCACAACTCATTTTATCTATCATGTGGGGTCCAGTTTTCATTTCATTCTAAATGCCAGGGAGACCAAATGCCAGTTTTGATTACTCTGACTCCTTAATATGATTTTTGGTAATATTACAAACTCCTTCCTGAAACCTTAATTTTCCCTCTTGTTTACTTGTTAGGCAAACATTAATTGAGTGCTCCTAGCTTGAAATACTGTACACAATGCTCTGGAGAATTATAAAGTAGAAGACAATCTGTCTGCCTTTGACAATGTTACCACCTAAGAAGGAGACACAACAAATATAAATACATAAACCATGAAACAGGGCAAAACCAAGGACACTGCAGAAAAGCAAATTGTAAACACTAACGGAGAACACAAATCAAATCTTAGGAAAAAATACATGTGTGGAGGTGCGAGCTGATAGGCAATTCTCCAAAGTCTCCTTTATAGTTTTCTGCAGTGTACGCTTTCTCCCTTAAACTTTTTGTTCTCAGTGGAGGCCCAGGAGGTGCTTACTTGATTTCCAGCCTGCTTACCCTAAGATGGCACAATGCCACTCAAGTGTGAAGTCACAAGTAACACAGTTCTGCACACAGAAAAAATTGATTGCAGGTTTGTTTAAGGCACACAGAAATCTGGCAGATAACCTTTCATTTATAGCACCACAGAAGAAAAATAAACAGAACCATCCAATATTAATCTCTAATCTATAAAAACAACTTTTCTTCTTTTACTTCCCATCTATAAAAATGGAGAACAGTAACTTCAATTACCTGTACTTTACAGGGAAAATGAAACAGGGCAGAAGCCAATATACACTGTATTTCTGGGGAGCAGGGTCAGGGGATACCTTCACAGAGTAAAATAGGTCCTGGGAACAAACGGTGGTATTCCTTCTTCTTCATGTACTCAGCTATAAACCACATACCTTTTAGCTGAAGGGCTATTTCCTTAATGTCTATTTCACCCACGGATTCCTTCTGGGAAGAAAAAGCATCCTCTGGACTATTTTTAAATATTCTAGTAGAATCACTTTCTTAAACAATTAGGTCAATTTTTTTCAGAAATTTCCATTTAATAATGATTTGTCTCTACCTAAAGTACCATTCATTCAAATAATATTTATGGCCACCTGTTATGCACCAAGAAACTCTTGCAGAAATCTCTGCCTAATGAAGCTTCTTTTCCAGAATATAAAATAGGGTTTGTAAATGATATGTTTGATAATAAGAAGTTCTGTGGAGAAAAGACCACAAATTAGAGGTGAAGGTTTTCAACGTTAAGGAGGGTAGTCGAGGCCAGTCTCAAGGAGAAAGTGGCATGCACAATTTTCAATTCATAGAGAGCTCTAGACTGTAACTCAATTCATGCTACTCCACTTTTTGCCTTTTTCTATTACTATTTATATTGATACATAGTGATGAAAAAGATTAATTTCAAGTTAAAATAAAGTTTGACATACAAAAAAAGTGCCCCTAATAACAATATTTGTCTTGGTTAATTTGCTGTCATTGCTGAGACAAAATACCCAACATCCAAAATTAAAGAGGGAAAGGTTTATTTAGTTCACAGTTTGTGGAAGTTTCAGTCCATACTCAGCTGGCTCCAAGGCAGTGTGGCATATGGCAGAGGGCAACAGTTCATGGTGGCAGGAAAACAGTAAAAACAACAAGCGCAAAAAGGAAGGAGCAGCAGAAAACAAGCCTCTTTCCCTCCCTTATACTGAATACAAAATATCCACCCTAGGGTGGATGTAGCATTCACACCCATAATCCCAGCATTGGCCTATGAATCAATAAAAAACTCTAGAAGTCCACCTCCCCATGACTACATGAGGCTTTTGGGGGACATCCAGACACAAACCATAACATCCTGCCCCTGGCCCCCCAATGACTCATGTACATCCCCTTATGCAAAACGATTTTAGTCCATCTGTAAGAGTGGCCAAAGTCCTAATAGTTTCAGCATTGCTGAAAAGTCCAAGTCACAAGTCTCCTCTAAGATTTAAGGTGAACTCTTAGCTGTGAGCCCCTACATAAATGAAAATAAAGTTAAACACTTTCAACATTCAATGGCACAAGATAGATATTTCCATTCCAAAAGTTACAAACAGCGAGATATAAATGACTGGGACCAAAGCAAGTCCAAAATCCAGCAAGGCAAACATTAAGTCCTGTAGCTCCATGTGGAACATCCGAAGCAATCTGTGGTAGGTTGTACACTCCAAAGGGCTTGTGTAGCTCCACCCCTAGGGCACTTCCTGTGGTTGTAGCTCCCTTGGCTTCTCTCTCAGGTCTGCTCTGCTCCCTCCTTGCAAGTTTCCTTAGATGATCCATGTTCCTGGCTTTTCCAAACTTCTGGGTTCTCCACTGCACCTTTGTCTTCACACTCACAGCTCCACACACTACACTCTCAGGGGCACACTGCCTGGCCTCTCAAGCCTTCTGAAATCTAGGTGGAAGCCTTCTTAACTTCAGAACTCTTACAATCTGCATGGGCCTAAAACTAGTGCCATGTAGGTAATGCCAAAGCCTCCTGCCAGCTGGAGCAGTAGGCAGGCTTTCCTCTCTCTTGGCTGTAGCGGTCAAGTGCCAGGATCAGTGAGCATTCTGAATCCAAATCAGAGGACCAAATTCTCTATGCTGAAAGCCATTCTGGAACCTGGTGTGGCTGCTGCTGCCATCCTGGAACATGGCATTCTGCAGCTTTCTCCTCAAAGCAAAGTCTTTCACCTTTACAGAGTTGAGGCTGCAAAGGGTGGAGACTTGCTGCTCCTAGAGATGCCCTCAGGCCATCTTTTACATTCTCTTCTTCCTTCTCAGCATTCGAGATCTCCTCTGCTCTTTTTTTGCAGTCCACAGCTTTACTGGAGCTTCCTTTCTGGCCAAACTCATGTTTTAAATCATCCTGCTGGGCTCTTTGCTTTTGATTTGCAACATAAATCTGGCTAAAAGCCCCCAACAATAGCCATACCACGGCCTCAACAACTGACTGCCTTGGAATTTCTTCTGCCAGGTTAATTAGTCTGCCGCCCTTACTCTTAGTCTCAAGCAAAATCTCTGGATATGAGCACAATTCAGACAAATTTTCTGCCAAGTTATGACATATATCATCTGGAGTCCAACAGCCAATGCAGTCCTTCCCAGCAGAAACCTCCTGAATCCAGTCTTTACTGGCAGGATTTCTATTGGCATTCTGGTCTTTTCAGGTCTGACCAGAATGGCTCATAAAGAACAGCCTAAGGTGTTCCAGCTCTACACTTTCAAGTGACATCTAGGAACCTTTCCAAACTATTTCCACAAGCCGTTCCCAAAGGCTCTTGAACCACATGGTCAGGCACCAAATTCTGTGTTGGTTACTTTTCTCTCATTGCTGGGACAAAATGCCTGAGAGCCAAAATTAAGGAAGGAAAGGTTTATTTAGCTCATAGTTTGTGGAGGTTTCAGTCCATAATCAGCTGGCTCCAAAGCAGAGTGGCATATGGCAGAAGGGTGACAGTTCATGGCATGGAAGACAGCAAAAGCAATAAGA